GCAGGAAACTCTTCAGATTGTTTCACTTCCTCCATGAACCTCGAATTGGGGCAACTTTTCTTTCATGTAAATCAGAAATGATCAGAAAAGACCAATTTGAATTTATCCTTGAATGTGGTCCAAGACGTCATGTCAAGGACTGGGTTTCCACTACTGAGAAAGACAGGTGGGGTGAATTTATAGTCAAACAATTGTGCGAGTACGGGTTCACTGAGCGTCTTTAACCCCTTCCCCAACAATTTTTTTGTTAAAAACGGTTCTTTTTCAGACTAATTTTTTTATTTTGGTTCTATATAGTATTTTTGATGCTGGTTATGAAAACAGTTTGTAACTCGTCTTCCTATAAACCATATTTTTTTACCATATTTTCTTAGTATACTCGTCGACGACTGAAAAAGAACATTTTGTGAAAACGAGTATACACGTTTCTGCCGGGGAAGGGGTTAAACCTGAACCAAAGCAGACCAGAGACAGAGATGAAAAGAAAAAATGGGCAGGTTGTAAACTTGTGTGGTTATTTATTCCCGAGAGTCTGCACAAGGTAGCCGCAGGGCCCCCGCAGTGCTATTCTGGTAGATCTAGAAAGAAGGGAAGTGTACCCTCTGATCTCAGGCCTTTCTTAGTTTTAGAACCCGGCACACAGGTCAAGCTCTGCCTGGAGCACTCATAGTCACTGAGCGAAGCCATGCTTTCGGAGAACCGGGAAGAATCTGAGTTGCTTGGCTGGTCCTCACCCACACACCGCTTCTCGCCACCATTGAAGGGCATTTTGTGTCACTTGAGTGTGGGGTAAAGAGATGGTACCTGCACAGACAAACAGGCCCTGTGTCAGTAGTCTGTGGTACTTCACCCGTGGTGCCTCTGTGTCGCAGGTGTCACAGTGTTGGAAAGGCGCCCAGAAGACGGCCCCTGCTTCCCATAGCACCCCAGCCAGGCTATCACTAGGCCTTCAAGGCTGCCTTCCGTAAGAGGGAACCACAGCCACAGGTGTGAGCTCACTCAAGACATCTCGGTGTGGCTGTGGACGCTCAGTAACAACGGGTCCTTAAAGCACAGAGTGCAGAACACAATCTCTGCGCCTGGGCTGCCAAATCATGGGGAGGCAGAAGTAAGAGTCTGGGGCTCTGAAGTCACACTGCCTGGGTTTGAAGCTCCTTCAGTCTTTTGTCATGTGGCCTTCAGGAAGGCACTGAACTACCTACCTCATCAGTAAAACTGGGCTGAAAGACTAATCGTAGGATTACTTGAAGATGAAATAGGACTCATGCAAAAGTGCTCTGACCCTGGCCGGGTGGCTGGCTCTGTTGGTTAGAGCATCATCCCATACACCCACAAGGCTGAGGGTTTGATTTCCGATCAGGGCACATACCTAGGTTGTGGGTTCTATCCCCCGGGCAGGGCACATACGAAAGGCAGCTGGTCGATGATTCTCTTCCTCTCTTCCCCCCACCCCTTTCCCTTCCTCTTTAAAATATCAATAAAAACATATCCTCGGGTGAGGAAAAGAAAGTTCTTAGTACAACACTCAGCTGTTAGCTATTGCTATTGTTCCTATGTCTTTGTTTGAAATAAAATATTTTTGCAATCAGCCTCATTCCTTGTCTGTGAGCCTCCTGGGGAAAGGAGAAGGCTAATTAAAATCTCCAACTGCCCAGTCATTATGTTCTTCTCCATTTTCCCATGAACTGCCAGGATGTGAAGAGTCAGGCCTGGTACTTGACAATGTACAAAGTACCCACTACCACCCAGTGGACAAACAAGCACAAAAAAACCCTGATTCACAAGCTGGGGAAACAGACTCTGAGGAACAAGAGGACTTACTCTGCCCTAAAACTAGTCCCTTGGCTCTACATTCCGTGCCTCCCAGGGCAGGGCAGCTGGGCCCAGCCACCCCCTAGAAAGGAGATCCTGGGCACACGGGATGCCCAGGCGTCAGCCCGGGAGCCTGAGCCAGGCCCGTGAGAAAGCTGGCCTTCATATGAGAGTGGTGGCAGCTGACACCGAGGGGAAACCTGGGCTCGAGGAGAAAGGCATCTCAAACCCTAAGTGGACAATGGTGACAGTACGGGTTCACTGAGCGTCTTTAAACCTGAACCAGCTCACAAAATGAGGTACACAGGGCTTTCAAGCTGCCAGAATGTGAAACCACAACTACGCATAGTATATGCGTAGAAATATAGAAATACCTGCACAGCTTCTTCAATGATTCCGTGCATATTTACTGAGTGCCTACTGTGTACCAGGCACTGGGAAAAATAACAGTGAACAAAACAGACAGGGCCCTGTCCTCATGGCTCTCAAGTCCAGTGACCGAAACTGTGTGTGCCAGATGCTAGAAACAAGAAAAGGCAAAACAAGGCATTGCTGAGGAAACATGAGAGAGGAGAGGCAGGCAGGGTTGGGACTTACAGGGAATCTAGCCTTTGTTGAGAGAAATAGTGCCACTTTTCATTTCTTGGGTAGTAGAGACAAGGATGGGCCTGAAAGGGACTTGTTAAGGGTCAAAAGCCCAAAGGCATTTGCACCTGACCTCACCTAAACAAACTTCTTTAGACCTGCCACTCATAGAAGTGCACCCTGGCTTGCCCTACCAATTTCGAAAACAGAAAACTACCAACTCGGAGGTGGCCTCTGCAGACCCAAGGGCAAGAAGTTGAGTGTAGCTGCCAGGAAGCTACCAGGTAGAGATATTCACCTTATCCTGGAGTCCCAAGGCCAACCACCAGGAACACAGGTTATAAAATGGCCCCGAACCCCTGCATCCTCCTTTACCCCGTGCCAACTAGATTCGACTTGAGCTTTAACTCCCATCTGCTGGGCAGGAGCGGGGAGGATAAAAGAAAAGCGTCTGCCTAATCCTTTCACTTCCACCAAACCCCAGATCCTAAAGGGAATGAATGCTTCCCTTCCCTCTAGCGTTGCTCTTTGCCAATATTCTACTTCTCATTGATGGCATTTCTTGAAAATGCTACCTCCTCCAGGAAGCCTTCCCTCTACTCCCTGGCCAGAGCCAAGGGCACTCTTCTTTATACATCTTCCTGTATCTCCATGAGAGTGCTTAGTCCCTCGTACAGTGGTTTTCCTCCCATGGCTACTTCCAACTCTCCTTAATAAGGCAGGGACTGTGGCTCGTCCATGCCAGGGCCAAGTATGTGACAAGTATTCATTCAGCATCAGCTGAATTGGAGTCACTGAATCCCATGTGGTGCAGCTTCAACCAGAACATTTGCAAACTGATATCAGGACACATTTACAGGCCTGGTGCTGCCGAAGTTCAAGCACTAGAATAGAGAGCCTACACCAAAAGCTACCATACTAGGTTTAAGACTTAACATTCCCGGGTCCTTATCACATCTTATTTGAATATTTTAAATTTTGTTTCAATCTCCTCCCAAGTCATTCCACTGTAACAATTGTGCCATGTATTGGCCTGCTCTTATTTCTCTTCACTTTGGCTGTTTTTTCCAAGTAAAGATGAATAAAAGCTTCCATCCACTGGAATTTATAAGTAGGTTCATTCATATATTAATCCATTGGATTTATTTAACCATAAATTCATCCATTAGCATTTGTGAACGGTCCATTTTTTTTTCTATTCCAGCTGAACAGCACACTTCATAGGTTTTTAAATTGTGTTTGACAAGGCAGCAAAGTACAAAGATTTTAAAAAGTAAAGACCTAGCCCTGGCTGGTGTGGCTCAGTTAGTTGGGTGTCGTTCTGTGCACCAAATGGTTGCTGGTTTGAATCCTGATCAGGGCACATGCCCAGATTACAGGCTCAATCCCCCTAGTGGGGGGCATGGCTTGCAGGAGGAAGCCGATTGACGTTGCCCTCTCACATCAATGTTTTTCTCTCTCCCTTTCTCTCTAAAAATCAAAGAACTGTTGATTTAAAAATAAATAAATGGACAAAAAGTTTAAAAAATGAAAGATCTAAGTTAGAAGTTGGAAGTTGAGGATATGAGGCCTGATCTGTCATTAATTTCCTGTGTGACTTTCCGCACATCACATCTGCTCTCTTTACCTCGTTTTTCTGAGGGGGTTGACCAGGTATAAGTTCCCTTTCAGTGAGGAATTGCTAAAATGCTATAAACCCAGAGTTCCATGAGGCATCACTAGAAGTTCTGAGAAATTAACTGTGCTCATGGCAGACAGAGTTAATAACATGCAACTATGCTTTCTTCCAACATTTCACTGAAGGTAGAGTTCCTGGCACAGGGAATGGAACAGACAATTTAAAAGCTTAAAAATGTTTAGAAAACTGTTTATTTGGCAGAAGCCTCCCCTGACACTGGCTTTAGTGGATCTAAGCAGAAACTTTTCTTTGAAGCCAAAATGTCCACCATTACTTTATTAGGAAATTGCCTGTTTCCTCATGTAGGCATGCTAATACCACCTAGCTCATAGGGTTGGTGTGAGATTTCATTTAGTCAATGTATGGGGAGATTTTGGAACAGTGTCTGACACAGTGTAAACAGGATGCAGATGTTTGCTATTATTAGTATTATTTACTTTTCGTTGTTGTTATTACCATTATTTTAGACATTAAAAACTCTAGAGGGAAGAACAGTTTTATCCCAGGATGATAAAAGCATGTCCCCCTACAGGAGGGGGGAGGGAGCCATGTTCCTGCCAAGGGCCCCTTGGCTATTCATAACATCATTCAGGGGCCACACAAAATTATCAACTTAAAAATAAGCCTGCTATATTTAGTCAAACATTCAATTAACTCACCCCTAATGCCTTGGCAGGGCCAGACCAAATGATTTCTTGGCCATACACAACCCGTGGTTCAGACGTTCCCTACTCCTGCCTTACAGATAAAGAAGGCTGGTAGTTAACCTAGGACAGAACTCCTGCACAAAAGCCAAAAAAAAAAAAAAGCAAGTGACTGTCCTGGTGTAAATGGTCTTCTGTAGTAAGTTCCTTCACATCTGTTCTTACTTTTCTTGGTCTTGGGTTTCCATGTAAGTCATCTGGGGACAGTGCTACTTGACTCAAAAATCAACAACAACAAAAAAAACCACTGAGGGTAATTAGATTGCTTTGAAAACTATTTTGGATCCTCTCTTAGAACAAGTGATAATAAAACCAGGCTGATTCTTTGAGAAAGGCGGTGCTTCTCATACCCAGAAACTTAGACCTTCAACACTGCAACTCACAAGCAAACCACACAACTTTTCTGGAACAATGCATCTCAAGCCTGGAGAATTTACTCACAGGCCAAAGGTAAAGTCAAAGGTGAAAACAGAAGATCACTCCAAGCAAAGCTCCCAATACTACAGTGGGTCACTATTTAAAGAGGATTACGTTTTTTATTGCAAGTGTCCCATATTTAATAATAATAAATGCAATATTCTATCATTCCTTCCAAGGCCAAAGACTGGGATGTAGCAGACACTTAAGTATTTCTTGTTGAATGAATAGATGGATGAACGAATGACAGAATGACCACTGATATTTTAGGGAGGAAGGAATGGGTATAGGAACCTGAAGTGGTTAGTCCCATGTTTCATAACAGATGGCGGGAAGACAGGTTTTAATTGTTGTGAAGATAATTTCAATAGTCAAGTACTTAAGCTCCTAGTAATAGATTATCGATTATTATTTTATTCTTACTAAAAAAAGTTATGAATTAGGAAAATGTCAATGTCATAAAAACAAAGAAAGGATAGAATATGTTCCATATGAAAAGACACTTTACAGTGAGTGCAACAGATGATCCTAGACTGGATCCTGCACCAGAGGGGATTGGAGTGGGGTGTGGGGAGGAGGACATTATTGGATCAATTGAAAACATTCTTATAATCCTTGAATCTATCTCTGTAT